CTTACTCATTCATTCGAGGGGGGGTGGGGGGGGGGTTGGCGGGGCACCCAGATTCCTATAAGCCCCCCTTGCCAGAGACCCCCCACAAGCACCGGGCCAGGCAAAGTCACTGACTGAAGAATGATTTGTGTGCGGACGTATGATGAATCTCCGGCAAATCTGGCAACTGACCCCATATAAAGTTACCCCCCCGGGGTACAGGGGGTACCTATGACATCATGGGGGCTGTTTTCCTGCATCAGATTTGCTGAGTGGGCGCGGTTTTTAGAAGGATTTCACACGCGCCCGGCTGACACAGCCGCGCAGAACCCAGAAGCCGTCCCTTTATGAGTCCCGCGTGCCGGTGATTTTGGGGCACATTGTACTCACCGGAGCTCTTTTTTTTCTCACCACAGGCCTGGGCGATATTTAAAGGGAAGTTTAAAGAGGGCGACAGGGCGGAGCCGGCGACGTGGAAGACGCGCCTACGCTGCGCGCTCAACAAAAGCCCCGACTTCGAGGAGGTGACGGAGAGATCCCAGCTGGACATTTCGGAGCCGTACAAGGTGTACCGCATCGTCCCGGAGGAGGAGCAGAAATGTGAGTGGTGGAGGCGGAGTCATGTGACTGCTGTGCTTGTCAAGCTGAGGAGATTGTACAATCAGATTTTAACATGTCAGTCTATGGGGAGGGGGCAGCTAATGTGCAAACCACCATCCCTGTGCTGAGTTCCCGGGTCTGTACACACGCTGTGCCCATTATGAGGGCCCCCCCCCCATCCCTGTGCTGAGTTCCCGGGTCTGTACACACGCTGTGCCCATTATGAGGAGCCCCCACCATCTCTGTGCTGAGTTCCCGGGTCTGTACACCCGCTGTGCCCATTATGAGGAGCCCCCACCATCCCTGTTGGAATGTATGAATATCATTATTTCTCACTTTATCATCTCTCTTATGCTCCCTCTGCAGGTAAGATGGTCGGCTCCAACCTGAATGATCTCACAGACATGGACTGCAGCTCATCGGAAATGGAGGTAAATATAAAAGGAAGAAAGGCTCCATTCACTTATTCTGTCATTTCAACATGTTTCAGGCTTTAAAGTGAACCTGTCATGTTATAAGTACAGTGGCATGGGTGGTGAGTACACTGCAGTAAGTACAGAGGTGAGGGAAGAGGACGGGGAGGACCAGAGGTGAGGGAAGAGGACAGAGAGGACCAGAGGTGAGGGAAGAGGACAGAGAGGACCAGAGGTGAGGGAAGAGGACAGAGAGGACCAGAGGTGAGGGAAGAGGACAGAGAGGACCAGAGGTGAGGGAAGAGGACAGAGAGGACCAGAGGTGAGGGAAGAGGACAGAGAGGACCAGAGGTGAGGGAAGAGGACAGAGAGGACCAGAGGTGAGGGAAGAGGACAGAGAGGACCAGAGGTGAGGGAAGAGGACAGAGAGGACCAGAGGTGAGGGAAGAGGACAGAGAGGACCAGAGGTGAGGGAAGAGGACAGAGAGGACCAGAGGTGAGGGAAGAGGACAGAGAGGACCAGAGGTGAGGGAAGAGGACAGAGAGGACCAGAGGTGAGGGAAGAGGACAGAGAGGACCAGAGGTGAGGGAAGAGGACAGAGAGGACCAGAGGTGAGGGAAGAGGACAGAGAGGACCAGAGGTGAGGGAAGAGGACAGAGAGGACCAGAGGTGAGGGAAGAGGACAGAGAGGACCAGAGGTGAGGGAAGAGGACAGAGAGGACCAGAGGTGAGGGAAGAGGACAGAGAGGACCAGAGGTGAGGGAAGAGGACAGAGAGGACCAGAGGTGAGGGAAGAGGACAGAGAGGACCAGAGGTGAGGGAAGAGGACAGAGAGGACCAGAGGTGAGGGAAGAGGACAGAGAGGACCAGAGGTGAGGGAAGAGGACAGAGAGGACCAGAGGTGAGGGAAGAGGACAGAGAGGACCAGAGGTGAGGGAAGAGGACAGAGAGGACCAGAGGTGAGGGAAGAGGACAGAGAGGACCAGAGGTGAGGGAAGAGGACAGAGAGGACCAGAGGTGAGGGAAGAGGACAGAGAGGACCAGAGGTGAGGGAAGAGGACAGAGAGGACCAGAGGTGAGGGAAGAGGACAGAGAGGACCAGAGGTGAGGGAAGAGGACAGAGAGGACCAGAGGTGAGGGAAGAGGACAGAGAGGACCAGAGGTGAGGGAAGAGGACAGAGAGGACCAGAGGTGAGGGAAGAGGACAGAGAGGACCAGAGGTGAGGGAAGAGGACAGAGAGGACCAGAGGTGAGGGAAGAGGACAGAGAGGACCAGAGGTGAGGGAAGAGGACAGAGAGGACCAGAGGTGAGGGAAGAGGACAGAGAGGACCAGAGGTGAGGGACGAGGACAGGGAGGACCAGAGGTGAGGGAAGAGGACGGGGAGGACCAGAGGTGAGGGAAGAGGACAGGGAGGACCTCACCAGTGGGATAATGTTATCCATAGCTCACAAAGCAGGCTGACGGCAGTGGGGGTGACACAGGAAGCTGTAGAGCTGTAGACTACATGAGTTGGTGTCACCCTCCGTGAACCACAGAAGCAGCCAAACAGAATCACAGATTATTTTCCATGTAGATCAGGTCACAGACGTGTTTTCGGTTGCTGGTCCGGAGTTCAGATGTATCGATGAATGTTACTTCCTGGCGGGTCACATGGGAAGCCGCATTGGATACATTTCTATCACTTTTCATATTCATGTTACTGTCATAAAGTGGACCTGTCATGTTATACGTACAGAAGCAGCCAATATTGACTTTTTAATAGGTTGCTGGTTCCTTTGGCTGTCGTACCTATTAAATCACCGACCCAAAACAAGCCTGGAGGTCGGTGACTTCACTGGATCCAGATCAAAGCCACAGGATGAGCATGACAGGCAGGGAAGGAGCAGCTTCCATGAGGAAGACGTTGTGGTGTTTTGTCTCGCCCTCTGAATTGCACTTTCTTGTTTCAGACGCCTGCAGATGACTATTTGGTGAACATAAAGCGCAGCCCCTCCCCGGCCAAGGACACGTGTCAGAAGCCGCCGTCACAGGACTGGTGGATGTACCCTCACGGCACAGGTAATGGCACCTCATATCATACACCGCCATCCCCATCACCACCATCCCCATCACTATACACCGCCATCCCCATCACTATACACCGCCATCCCCATCACTATACACC